TGTTTCTTGGCATGCCTTCAATTTGGACTGAAATGTGGTGATTTTATAGACAACCTGAGATAGATTTGAAGTTTTGGGTTTGTATTGCTAAAATTGGATTGTTCCTGCTTTCATGGAGATTGTTCTGGTTAGAAGAAGCTGACATTAAGAGAATTCTGCTGGTTCTTGTTTTTTTACAACTTATTTTGGTTCTTGCAGGAAAATTCGGCACAAGAATGTTGTACAATTCATAGGCGCATGCACACGAACTCCAAATATTAAAATTCAAAGGCTGGTTGGTGTTTTGAGTAATGTTGATTGTGCTGTATTCATGATCTTAACTCTGTTTAGAAGAGAAAACCAAATGTTTTGTTGGTGTAGCATTTCTTTATGTATCTGTAATGCTTGTTTTCATACTGAAAGTTGAGTTAGCTTTCTGTATGCGGGTAAAGTATTAGAATTTGCCTGAGAATATGTATTCATTGGTTACTTTATGATCTTTTGCTCAGACTCGAAGGACTTATTAGCAAATAGATAATAGGTTACATTACGTGTGTATGAGAAAATTGAACTGTGGCATTCTTTTAAAAATGCATATGTTAAACACGGATAATAGTCTGTATTTGTAAGTATTATGAGGCATGTGATTGATTGATGGCTCACTGATCAAAAAATTGTAATTTCAGGTCGGTACTCTAACTGGGGCAGAGGCATCAATAGGTTTAGTACCGCTGTTGCATTTGAGGAACCAATCACACCGCCTGTTAAACTTTTTCAGGAAAGATCACGAATAATGTTGCGGTTTGCTGATTTGCTTGAGAAGCACAGTGATCATATTGCGGCTCTTGAAACTTGGGATAATGGGAACAGGCTGCAAATGAAGAAATACCATTGGTGTGGTAAATGGTAGCTAATTTGGCATGGTAGAAATTAGCATATATGCTAATTTAGGTTGTGGTACATATGTCCTTTTTGTTAATTAATTTGGTTAGTCCTGTATTATGTATGAAATGAAATTATTGACGTTGGATTAGACTTGGTTCGTATGGAATTTGTATTATATATAGAATTGGACGTTCAATATTAATGTTTTGGATGGTTGGAGCTAAAATGTGTGCACATTGTTCTCGAGCCAGAAACTCAGAAGTGCGCTCGAGCCAAAGAATGCTCGCTCGAGCCAACAACTCGACCCTACAGGTCTGCAACCAGAAGCACGCTCGAGCGACAGACCTCTCGCTCGAGCGAAGAACGAACCAGACCGCTCGAGCCAAGAAAAGCTCGCTCGAGCCAAGAAACACAACTCTCAGGTCCAGAACCAGACGCAACACTCGCTCGAGCGAAGCCACTCTGGCTCGACCCATCAGACACAACCTCACTCTCGCTCGAGCGACAAACTCCTCGCTCGAGCGAAGGTTCAAAAATCTGGGCAGCAACACTAGGCTCCCAAACACAACCAACCTGTAACAAACCTGCCTAACAAACATGTCCGGATCACTGTACAACAAGGGTAAACCCGGGATTGCTATATTACGTGTGTATGAGAAAATTGAACTGTGGCATTCTTTTAAAAATGCATATGTTAAACACGGATGATAGTATGTATTTGTAAGTATTATGAGGCATGTGATTGATTGATGGCTCACTGATCAAAAAATTGTAATTTCAGGTCGGTACTCTAACTGGGGCAGAGGCATCAATAGGTTTAGTACCGCTATTTCATTTGAGGAACCAATCACACCGCCTGTTAAACTTTTTCAGGAAAGATCACGAATAATGTTGCGGTTTGCTGATTTGCTTGAGAAGCACAGTGATAATATTGCGGCTCTTGAAACTTGGGATAATGGGAACAGGCTGCAAATGAAGAAATACCATTGGTGTGGTAAATGGTAACTAATTTGGCATGGTAGAAATTAGCATATATGCTAATTTAGGTTGTGGTACATATGTCCTTTTTGTTAATTAATTTGGTTAGTCCTGTATTATGTATGAAATGAAATTATTGACGTTGGATTAGACTTGGTTCGTATGGAATTTGTATTATATATAGAATTGGACGTTCAATATTAATGTTTTGGATGGTTGGAGCTAAAATGTGTGCACATTGTTGAATGCTTGATAACATATTTAGTGTTGATGGATTATAGTGTTTATACAGGGTACAGGTTGTATTCATAATGGATACAGGTTGTTTAGAAATTTAAAAAAAAAAAGAAAAGAAAAACACGTTAAAGCATTTGGCTACCAAATATTTTGGTAGCCAAATATGTAATCAAATGTATTGGTGACTAATAATTTAGTAGCAAAACATAACCCAAAAAGTTTTGGCGACCAAATAATTAGTAGCTAAAACAATTGAGAATGAGAGAAAGAAACAATTGCCACTAAATTTTTAGTCACGGAATACACCTTTTGCCGACTAAATAATGTTTCGTAGCTAAAAGTGTACTTTCGGCGACTAATTATTTAGTAGCTAAAGGTGACACCTTCCCCGACCACAACAACTTAGTAGCCAAAAAGCCTCATTCGGCGACTAAAGGTTTAGTGGCGGAAACATAACATTTGCCGACTAAACTAATTTTAGTAGCCAAATGTGGTCACTTTCGGCGACCAAACGAAATTTAGTAGCCAATACTATCGCCGACAGGGCAAAGGCGACGACCTTGGCGACCAAATATTTTAGTCGCTAAATCGTTTCAGCGACTAAATATTGGACATTTGGCGACCAATATTTTGGTAGCCAAAAGTGACATTTCTTGTAGTGTGTAAATAAAAATTACACTATTTTGAACCAAATACTTAAATAAATAAATAGTTTCATAAAGTGCACCAAATAGAGTTATATTCATTGGACTTTTATATTATAATTTAAATAAAATAATCCTGCCAGAAAATAGGAGATATGAATTTTTTGAAACTTTTTGGACAGAGAATCCTAGTCCTTTTGTTTTATAATTGATTATATATTATTTGCTATTATGTTGTTCTTACTTGTTTTTGGTTCATGTGTCACAGTTAGAGTCAATGGCTTCGTATGTAGAAACCCTATGCTCGCTCAAGCATCAGATTTGCGTGGGGCCTTAACCCTCCTCACATCCACCCTCGTGCCACTGAAATCTTCACCGTCCTTGAAGGCACCCTCGAGGTCAGCTTCGTTACTTCGAACCTTGAAAACCGTTTTATTAGTAGTCGTTCAGAAAGGTGATGTGTTTGTGTTCCCAATAGGACTCATTCATTATGAAAGGAATGTTGGGTATGGAAGTGCTATCGCAATTGCTGGGTTAAGCAGCCAGAACCTTGGTGTTATCACGATGGCTAATGCTGTTTTCCGATCAAAACCAATGATTTCTGGCGATGTTCTTGCCAAGACATTTAAAGTTAATATGACAGTGGTTGATGCAATTCAGGGAGAGATGTAGGTGATGAAAGGAGTGGGAGAAGGATGAAATTTCATTAAAAGTACTTTGTTTGTGATTTTCACGTGTCCACTAGAGTTTGTCATTTTACATTTATGGTATGGTGAAGAAATTCTTTGTGTTTTTGTGTGTGATAGAATAAGTTTGGAGGCACATTATTTTTAATCATATTTTTAATTGCGTATTCATAACAGATATACAATGTGAGTTTTGCTTCAATTATGAGTAGATGGCAGAAAATATGATAAAAAATGATGTGTTATGAGAAAGATTGTTATTGATAACAAAATTTGTATTTCCATTTATTTGTTGTAAGAGCTGGCAATTAACTTATTGGATATTGCATTTGTATATTTTCATGATTCATGTTCCTTTATCTCTTTTCATATTTTTTTTTTTTGGGGGTGAAAGTTTAGAAAATAATTTACATACAAAAACTTCACATTACTCTAAATGAACTTATAATATTAATAGACAATCCATAATTAAACCAAATGCATGAATCACAAGGACACAATAATCTCATTAGTAGAAATGTAATTTTTGATATTATATGATAAAAAATGATGTTTTCTGAGCAAGATTGTTATTGATAACAAAATTTGTATTTCCATTTATTTGTTGTAAGAGCTCGCAATTAACTTATTGGATATTGCATTTGTATATTTTCATGATTCATGTTCCTTTATCTCTTTTCATATTTTGTTTTGGGGGTGAAAGTTTAGAAAATAATTTACATACAAAAACTTCACATTACTCTAAATGAACTTATAATATTAATAGACAATCCATAATTAAACCAAATGCATGAATCACAAGGACACAATAATCTCATTAGTAGAAATGTAATTTTTGATATTTTTGTCATTCAAACATAGTTTCCAAACAAATAATGTGATTAGATTTGCAATGGTGCTTTTGTTCATTCAAATTTTTTTTTTCTCTTCAGAGTAATGCTGTGATGATTAAATTTTTATATCAAATTGACTTACCAATCAGACGTGGCACCTTTCACTGAATTATTATTTGTTGGTAATAATTGAAGATGATAACCCATTGTTGTCAACTTTTAAATTGTTCAATTTCTATGCCATTATCCAAACAAAAATGCTATATACTTTAGAAAATATATATTTAGAATAGTTCTCAAAATTTTTTGGCTCCACAATTTTGATAAAAAAAAAATGCGTGGTGGGTCCTTCTTATAATTGAATTTTGTTTTTTTAGTTACACTTATAATTGATGAATTTTGAAAAAAGTAGTATTATAGTTTGCTTTCATATGGAATAAGTATTGCCTTGCAGTTTCAAGTTTTGACAAAGTAGTATGCCTTTGGAAAATTTGTTGAGAAATTTAATTCTAACATTACATTCAAGAAATTGTTGTATTTTAGTTGTAAGGATATATAATTAATGAAATTATTTTATGAAAATAATAATTTATCATTTTAAAGAATAATTTATTTATTTTTTCTCATTGACACAAGATCACTGTCAAGCTATCAATCACCGGAAAAATCACCAACGTTGGAAAAGTCACTGGAAGTAGCTATTATTGACCACCGACGAAGAGTGATAGTAGTGGTAGTGATATGGACAGATCGGTAGATTAGGCGGACAAATAATTGACATGTGATACATAGGTATGATTGAATTGGCTGGTACCTCTGTCTCTGACCTTGGCCTGACGATAACCCCCAGAATTTCGAGGCCCAAAAGTGTTCCCTCTTCCAATCAGTTGTGAGCAAGACCTTTTAATGTGACTCGACTGTCCGCAATAGTAGTATGCAGGTGATTGGCCCCTTCCTTGTGCTGGACTTTGAGAATGAGCTTGTTGTTGACGGCTAAGATTCCGATTACAATTTGAAGCCTTGTGGCACTGCTGGCCACATCGAAAACAAATGACACGGTTGGGGCCTGTACTTCCCGATCTTCTCATAGAAACAAATCCTGATGACTTGGTTAGTTGGGGCATGGACTGAGAAGATAAAGAAAAGGAACTTTTCGATTTCTTGGAAGATCCAGAATCGCCCTTTGATTCGACATAGTTCAGCCTCTTATGCCTTTGCCTTGCTTCCTCGGCCTCCATCATAATCTCCACATGCGCCCAGCTTCTACCAGCTTATCATACTCTCGATACACATGACCCATCACCTTCATTAGTATTTTAGGCCTTAACCTCTTCTCAAATTCGAAACGCCGACGTTCTTCAGTAGCTACAAGTTTAGGTGCAAAACATGCCAAACTAGTGAACATAGCTTCAAATTCCACCATTGGTGTGTCTAGTTATCGTAACTCTTCAAATTGTTTCCTCAACCTTTCCCTGGCCGTAAGAGGCAAAAACTTCTCTTGAAAGGCATGAACGAACGCCTCCCAAGTATGCTCCACTCTGTGCTTTACTGTCTTCCACCATTGACCGGCCTCTCCTTTCAATTGATACATCGCTAAGGCCATCCTAAGCTCCTCATCATTGATGTCTAAAATCTCAAATGATTTAACAATCTGCTCTAACCATTTGTCCACCTTCATAGGATCAGGCTCACCACTATAGTCCGCAGGGTTAGAGTGGAAGAATTCCTTCTTCAAGAAAGAGACTTTACTTACAAGAATATGTTGAGTAGAAAATTTTTATGGTTCTTGTGCTGTGCATTTTCTTTGTTTGTCAGTATTGTTTTCCCTTGTCAAGACATCCATTTGCATGTTAGTTTGGAAGTGGGACACTAAATTTTGTAGTATCAGTTTACAGTAGCTTGTTGCTCATGTGTGATTCAGCGGCCTTTATGGTAGTCAACATCCTTGTTCATTGGATTGATTAAATAACAATTTTAACTTAGATTTCATCTGCATCACACATTGTGCAATATTGCTTCTTCAGTTAGTAGATTTTCATGTCTATTCTATTAGAAGAAATTTATAAGTGCTTATCATGCCAACCTTTTGCAGGTATTTACTGTAGAATATTCTTTAATATGTAAAATTTCTGATTACAAAAAGCCATATATAAGCTTCATGGACGGCATAACAAATGGGATTTGGAATTGGCCTATCTGGTCATGGTCGCTACCAGCTCATCACCGAGGTCTGGTTGCCTTTTCTAGCACATATATATATATATATATATGTGTGTGTGTGTGTGTGTAGATAAAAAAACACTATGGTTAATTTTTGCTTGTATAAGTTTCTTTCAGAGGACTGTGCTTGCTATGCTAAAAAATGGGATTGGCTTGTTTCTAGATGTGGGCTCTGCATATATAGCAGCACAAACTCCAGGAAAAGGATTAGTTGGTATGCTTTCTGTTATTTAAAAAGTTCAGTTGGGTTCTATGGAGGGAATTTTTTTATGATGTTATGTTTCCTTTTGTTCGCACATTGAAGCTTTTTGGTATCAACTTTAAGTTCATCTAATTTAATGTTTAAATTCATCATTGAGGGGCATGATGCTCATTAATTTTTTTAGCAAAAGTAAGGTGAAAATGTGATAAAATCTGCGATGGGTCTTTTATCATCATCATCATCAAGGCAGTGACCATTGTGAAGTGTATTAATGAATGAAGAGGGGAGATTGTTTATTTAAGTCTGAAATTATCTCTAGTATAAAAACAAAAACAATATTAATGAATGAAGAGGGAGATTGTTTATTTGAGAAGTGTTCCATTGTGAAGTGTATGAGGTTTGGTTCTCTTCAAAAAAGGACCAATTAGAGATCTTCGAGGAGTATTTCCTCTCTAACTTTTCTTAATAAGAAGTGATCGTATTATAATCTCATCCAAAAAAAAAAAAATAGAAAGGAAAAATATAAAATAAGTCTAATAACAAGTAATAAGGAACAAAGTAATTGTTGTGTTTCTCGAAAAAACACAAATTACAAGAGCACTAATCACAATTATTATAAGAAAAAGCATGTAATAAATACTAATGTACAGACGAACGCACACTAAAAAAAAAGTAGAAGGGGTTACACGTACCCCCTGCTCACACAAATCTTGATGATACCTAGAGAACAAATAGAAGAAAAATATCGGGAGAGACATCAAAGCAAATTGGCACTCAGGAATTAATACAAATTTAGTAGTGAAATTTTGTTGTAATTTTTCTTTATTTATGGGATGAGTGATGGGAGATTTTGTAATACGTCTGGAGAATGGCCAAGACAAATAGACAAGTTGCAGCGAACAAAGCAATGGCTGTCCATGGTCCGCTGAAATATTTGTTAATAAATTCTGCCATCCAAGTCTTGGCGGTCCTGTTATAGTGATTCTGAATCCTCTGCATGACATCCTTGTATGGTTCAATCCTAGATCCGACAGTGGTAATCTCTTTGAAAACATTAGCCACTTCTTGATCACTGCCAAGATTGTTGAATAGTATATGCTTTGCCCGCAACTCTTTCACATCATCCTGGTTGTCAATAAGTGATTTCATGAAATCAATGTAAGAGCTAATGACAGAGTCCTCATATCTAGTGCTTGAAACTATTTCATAAGCAAGCATGTTTGAGTAAAATAGTTTGGTCGCTGGAGAAACTATGAAAGGATGAAGTTCAAGATGTCCATAGAAGCAACGAGATTTGAACTCAATAGCCTCAAGAGATAAAGAACTGTTAGGCATAAAGTATCCCTTTTGCTTTGAGCTCAGTAACTGAACGAAATGAGTGAACATATTCCATCAGATTGTCCTTAGGTTTGGAATATTTTTCTTTCTTGACAAAAGGTAAGTACCGAATGTAATCCTTATGGCGCTGCTTACATTGGAATTTGTTGAGATTGAGATACTTTGTCCGCACCAATTGAAGAAGATGAGAAGATTCCCTGTCAGTTTCATTAACATTAACTTTCTCCTTATCCTGAATATGTCTAATGTCTTTAGAAATCAAAAAATTCACTAACTTGTTGATGGATTCCATCCCCTCATCTTCTTTGAAATTTAAGCTCATTAGCAACTCAAGAACTTGAAATGAGAGTTGATTCTCAACCAAGTAAAATATATCTTAAATTGTTGAAAACCAAAGAAAAATGCCTAGATGATTTCTAACATCATCATATTTTGATTTTTGACAGGCAAGAGAAAGAGAGGAAGTCATCAATTATAGCTAGAATGAAACAACCATCCAAGAGCATCATTTTTGCAAATTGCTCACGATTGTATTCATCGATTGAACGTTTAACATAGTAGCTTCTAGCATCATTAACAACCTTTTCAAGAATCATGCTGTAGACCTCATCCATGCTCTTGCCGCTATCTTGCAGAAACAGTGTTGCTACCATAGGCTTGATGTTCTCTACAAGCTGGAGATCGTCTTTGCCATGGTGGTATGGACCTATAGAAACCCTTTTTGGATCAAACATTCCCTTGTTATTTTCATGGTTTCTCATCATCGATGGAACTCTTGGTATTCGAGGTGTGAACAACTCTTCTACCTTGATGATCATTTCACTTTCCATGATTTCCGGATTCACCTCTCTATTACTGGTCTTCGTTGTACTATTGTTATTATTAAAGATGTCCTCCATCGAAAATCGCCTTCTCTTCCTTTTATCTGTTGTCAGTACATTGCTCTATTATTAAATAGAAAAGATAGGGATCATCAAAAAAAAAAAAAAAAAAAAAAAAAAAAAAATTCATGAAAATGATCATAAAATATTTATGGTTATTAGATTACTTTGATTAGTGTGTGGTATTTTATTTTAAGTGTAATTCAAAGGTCATAAATGATCATTTTTATGAAATTTTTTTCATGATACCTAACATTGTTGATTATTAAATGACTCAAGTCTGTCAAGTACTCGAGATTATTACTAATTATTCTAAGGTTTTTTTTTATTATTATTATTTTCAATAAATGAAGAGTAATTATAAGTATGGGGAATTTTATTTACACTCAAAAAATCATTAAGTACTCTCAATTTCTAAGTACATCTTATTTAATTATTTAAAATTTTATTTTGCTCTCATTACACCCTATTATTTTATCCAAATTACCCTCAAGGTTGTAGGAGAGGGTTCAAGAAAGGAGTTGGAAAATTCGAAGATCTTCGAAGATCCTTGAAGAACAACTTCGAATTCTCTAGAATATGATGAGAGGCTTAGATTCTTCAATAATCTCAACTTAGGAACACAACAACAAAGGAGATGATGGAGATAAGAGATTGGGTGAAGAAGAAGGCAAAATGGCTAGAGAATAGAATAATGGCAAGGCTCTCCCATGGATCTCCCACTTTCACTCTCAAGGTTGATAATGGAGAAGGGAAATTAGTTCTTTCCCAAGAGTTAAAAACGTCAGCCACCCATTCCTTAACTAGAGCTTTCACTTCCTCGATTCCACATGGATAAGAAACATTCCCCTTTTCACCATTATATCGCTTTCTTTTCTGGCCTCTATGACCTCCTCCTTGTGAATTTCGGGTATCCGGGGCAGAGGCAGCAGCAACGATAGGTCCACGAGATGACTTGAAACTAGTCTTGTAACTGGCTTTAAATCCAGACTCCTGAGCCTGAGGAGGTGTAAATGGGTCTTCAAAGTTAAAAAGAATTCTGATGGCTCAGTTGCTCGGCACAAAGCCCGACTTGTCGCTAAGGGTTTTCATCAACAACATGGTATTGACTTTCATGATACCTTTAGCCCTGTGGCCAAGCAACCCACAATTCGCATTTTTATCTCTTTAGCTCTTCATACTTCTAGATTGCGTCTGAATCCGTTCGAAGCCAGCCTGAGTAAGTCTCTAGGTTCGTGGATCCGAACCCTTTCGAGGCTTACGGCGATTCAATCCGTTTGATGGCGATAAATCTGGGTCCACCGATTCTTGGACTTGCGATAAATTCGGGCCCACTAATCTTGGGCTATTGGGCCTAAATAATTTAGTGGGCTCAAATTAGCCCCTCTTACATTTGCCCCTTGCGTGTATGAGAAATTTTAAATTTCTCAGACATGCATACTGTCATTTCTTCGACCCTGTTTCGCATCACGTTCCCCAAAAAAAAATGTTTTGTCACGACAGAGCTTATGGATAAAGTTGATGACGCACTTCAATTTACAGAAAAAATTGACAAGCAAAAATTTTATTTTTTTGTACTTTTTCTTTTTTTTTTTTT